CATCAAAAGCGTTAGATTTTATTTTCCGTGCAGAAGATAGTGTGGATGAAAATTCGAGTTAAAAACTCTGCTGTCGACTTACTATAGGATGCTAAAAACGTATTTTATGATACTCGTGGTATACAATAATACATATTGCAAAATGTTGATTCATAAAAAATAAGATAAAATGATGTTTTACGTGACTGACTTACTTTGCATTGAACAACGATGTATAATATGAGTTTTAGTATGAAACTGCTTACGAATCATCAATTAGCAACCATATCTATTTATGAGATTTTATCGCAAACTGAAAGCAATGATATCTCTTCTGGATACTTCAAGAAGAATTTTTCAACAGTCATTCTTTTGATGAAAAAGATAGAGAAAAATTTCAATTATCTGCCATTAACTGTTGAATTTGACGGAAAAATATATGTGTTTAACCACAGCTCAAAATTCCGAAAACTTAAAGAAAAAATTAATTTAAAGCTTATGTGTTCCTATCATATTCCCGCTATTTAAATAAATGAATGCACAAATGAGCAGGAGTTGAGACTGATTCTTGTATAGGATGCATGCATACACACACACATATAGACATACACGCATACACTCAAGCGTACATACATGTGATAATTTTTAGTACGCATTTAACTTTTATTGCTTGTATGTATTTTTTTGTAGTTTATTTTCTTATTTTGCTTTTCCTTTTTACTTATTGATTGGGTGTGTAAAACAGGGTTTTTTAAGTGTACTATTAAATATTCAAATATAAATGTACTAAATATATTAATGTATGAAATGTTTCCATATTCAATATAAATATTCAATTTTTTTTTTATTGGAAGGTCTTAACTTTCAAAATAGAGCGAGTTTTAAATTGAGTTCTAACCAAAGAGGTAAAAGGGAGTAGTAAAACTAAAAATCTTGGTAATAACTCTTTTATGGCTACTTCAAATAATACCCTTTATTTAAACTTCTTTACTTCAAATAATGACCTCTTATATGTTAGAAATTCAAACTATTCTGATATATGATTTACCATTTTTGAAATAGTTTATTGAACACGTAGTTTTCTTTGTTTTCGGCAACTGCCTATTAGAATTCTTAATTTATCAGAAAATCTAATCAGTAAAGCTTTAATTTAATTAATGAATCATAGTATTTTATGTTTAAATTAGACTTCTGAAAATTACCCGAATGTATTCTCTTACATCGGATTAATTTAAAAAGTAAGTTTTTATTAAAAAATTTTTAACTCGCTAAACATTTTACGTAGCGTAATTTCAGTTTGTTCATTTCCTCATAACTAATATAATCTTTGACCTTTTTCTTATCCAAAAATGAAAACAGAAATTAAATTTATGTAAAAAATAAAGTTATATTTCGTTTTCTCTCGAAGCGAAAGACCTAAAGAAATTGTGCATGAGTAAGATGCTTCCTTCGAAATTTTACAATTTCTTTTGAAGCTTTTAAACTCTGTTTCGGAAGATCGAAAGTGGATGAGTTTAAGACAGAAAGCACGTGGAATGATTTGTTGACCATATCGACAGATTACGTCTAATGCGACCGTAATGCTTTCCAAATAATTCACAAATGATGTTACACGCATCACTCTGCCACGGAGGCTGCCTATACTGATTGAAATTCGTTAGTTATATGCTATCAGTTTGATTATATAAGTCTAAATGTTGTTATATTTAAATGTAATACTTACTATCATTATTTCCTTATTATTTTTTAAATATTGTATTTCGTGAAAGACATCGTTCAAATAATAAAGCTCAGCACACTTTTGGCAACATTTGGTGGAAGTTTTACTGCAGTAGCTTGTTAAGATATCCTTCTCAACGTCGAATACGCAAAAAACATTAACCGACTGACCAGATGAATGATTGTCATGACGTCTTCCCTTGTTTAAGCAACTACTTTTATTTCCCAGGCCTGGTGAAGAGTGAAAAGCCCACTCACAGCTCTGTAAAGGTTATCATCATGAATATTTTTCTCGAAGTAAAGCTCATTCCTATAAATATAACAATCTGGCTTTATTTGTAATCAAACTAGCCCTCTCAGATTAAATCCGAATTTGAAGAAAATGGAAATTTTTTTGACTATGAAATTAAAAGGCGAGCTCTAAAATACGATTTTTAAAAAGAGGTACAGAATTATAACAAATTTATGTATACAGTTTATAGTTAATTTAGTTTACAGTTTATGTATACTGTGTTAGTTATACGGTGTTATGTTTAAATAATTTTGCAGCAACTTCCCATTAGGGAAGTAAGTAACTTAATAATCTTCAATATAAAAATCCTCATCGGTATATATGGATTTGGGATATGTTACATTTTTCTTACAGCCGATCAAAATGATGCGATTTGATTTATAGGCAAAGTTCAAGATTCTGGTGCGTGAGGGTACATCCGAAATTATTATGTCGAAGGCTAAATTTTTGATGCATTAATGAAGTTGGAATGAATTTGGTAATTTTAAGATTTTAGAAAGCTATACATTTGATCACACAATTGTTAAAGTTTGGTCATGTGAATTCTGGCATGGTATATGAATGGACATGATCGAAAGTTGTATTTTTAATAAGATCTTCAGCTAAGAAGTTCACTGAGTTTCCCGTTTTTGCGCCAAGTATAATAACTACTTATATGCGCTTTATTACAGCTTAAACTTCAGACTGATTAACCTTTACATCGTGAAATAATCATATACTCTTCTTTCAGGGAATGATTGGCCCCTCTTTGGAAGCCACTCTTTTAATTTCGGTGCCACCCCAAAGTCATGAAATAGCAATTTGTTTTCCCTACTTAATTTAATTTTCCAGGTTCGTTCCGGTGTTTTAATTTTCAAACAAGTTATTTTTGCATTTTATTATACCTAAGGCGAAAAATGTATAGTTCCAATAAGAAAGAATTATCATGTATCGCTAGAAGTCCTTGTATGGTCTTTATTTTCGGTCGTTGGCATATATTTCTAACTACAAAAACGCTTCAAGTAAGGAAAATATTCCTGTTACCGCATTTTTCAATTAAAAAAGTAAATTTGGAAAACTTATGAAATATAATTTTTGATAAGATATCCCAGTCCCTATAGTTACATATAGTAAAAATATAAACAAACATTCTAAAACAGGAAATAAAAAATTTTTACCTCTGGTACGAACAAAGTTGGCTAGGACATTTAATATAAATTTTGAGATTATGTTCAGAGGTTGTACATGAATTGAAAGTAAATATTTAAATCTGTACTTAATAAAAAACGAAATATCCGTTTGGCGAAAAGGTATCTGATGATGGCCGAGTCAACGAACTCTCATTTACCTTAAGGACGGCTGAACATGAAACTAACGGGAAGACTGTGGCTGAATTATTTCGTGGACGAAAATTAATTACGCCCCTAGATAAGTTTTTTTCCTGTTCAAAAGAGGTCTGCGAAATTTAAGATGGCAGTTATTCAAACATTTGTGGACGAGGCGACTAGAAATTAGGATAAACCCAGGGCGGAACAGTTTTATCATGACAAGAAAAGATGGAAAACTGATTTCTTGATAGATAGCAGATCCTTAATTGACAATTTTCTCTACCACGATGTTAAACAGTAGAATATGGATATGAAGATTTGAGACTCATTCTTCTCACGGAGATGAACGTGCTGGCCAGAGCAACAATCGAGTTTCCTCTGTATCGAGGAATCACAGGACAGCATGAGAAACATAAGATATTGGATTATCTTGTTGAAAGAAAGCGTCACTCAAACCTGGAAGACAGGGCATAGCCACCTGTCTTAACACATCAAAAATGTATCGGTGACGAGAAGTGACCTGAATCTATATACAGTGGCACCCCATACCATTGCGCCAGATGCTAAGTCGTATGACGATGACAAATACAAGCTGGCAACATCTTTTCTACTCGGTGCCTCCACATATGTATACGTTCATCATGATGCTGTACGCAGGATTTAAATTCGTCTGAAAACAAATGGTGCCACTCCTGTGTCTACTGTCTTCGTTCATTGCACTGTTGTAGGCACACATATTTCTGCTGCAGTGTCAAGGGATCCTGCAACAATGTTGTTGTATTGACAGTCCATTCTTTTGCAGACGTCGTCACAGTGTCCGTCCGAACACTTGTCGGTCCGCAAGGCCGAGAAGAAATTATGTCTGATTTGTCTTTCGGGTGTGGTAGCCCGCGATCGCCGAGTTCCTGCATGGAGTTCAGTATAGTCTTCCTAGATCCATCGATTTCATATCTGCCTCATAGTCATAAGATCCTAACCAACACGAGCAGTAATGTCGCGGAACGATAAACTGCTGTCCCAATAGGCCACGATCCTGCTTATGTAAAATTCCGACCGATGCTGGTAGGAACACGAAGTATAACACGACGTTTACACAAAAAACCTTCTTACGCGAAGCATAACATGATCTTTACACGAACAACCAAAGTTCAAATGCGATTTCAAGGTGAGAAACCAGCTGTGCAATCTTCCTATTTGTACACAATGTGGTGGATGACGTACTCATATCAGATTTGTCTGCATCCGCTGGAATGCTAATTATTTGTATATCCCAATATGCAGCACATTTCAAACAAATTTGATGTTTATTGTACCCCGCCTTCATGGTATAGCAGTCTTAGTAGCCAACAGTATAGTTACGATCATAACAATTTCGTGATAATGAAGACTTAATTCAGTGTTATTTGCGTGATTTGCCATGAAACAGAAAATTTACGTAAAAATTAGATTCACTTTTCAAAGCGCGAATCGTCATTTTAATTTGTAATATTTTTGCTCAACTTTTTTCTTCACCCGACGATCCGTCTATGCTCAGACATGTACCCTCTAAGCTCATACATTAAAATTTGGCTTTGAAAATTAGTGTTAAATTACTGTAACAAGATCTTATAGTATTCCTAGGTTAGGTTGATTTGAGTAATATACTAGAATGCGTTGTCTATTTAGTAGTCTAACAGTACTAATTTTAAATGTTTTATTAATAGGTGAGGACAAAGCTTGAAAAATGCTTCTTCTAAGAAACTTTTCTCTATTACTTATGTCTCTTCTTCTCGAGAATGTCACATCTGAAGACGCATGGTGGTTGAAGGTGGCCCAGAGACAAGGGTAATATTTGCAAATTGGCATGATACGAGTATAATCTTTTTCTATGAATTAAAGATAATTGGACATATTACGTTACTGCAATATAGGAACGTATTAAAAGGGTCTTTTTAAAATCAGAATCTACTAACCACGCAACATTTTCACAGCATAAAAAGTTCTTCTAAATTTTGTTATTATAAAAAAAATTACTTGCGTAAGTAAACATGTATTAACCCTTTGACTACGAATTTTATTAACAATTTTATTACAACATTACACATTGGGCAACTCATATTTGTTCTTTTCTCTATGTTCATTTGTGTACAACTTGCACAGCGGTGTCTTGATTTTCCAACTATTGGAAGTGATTCCCAACATTCAGGAGATTTAAGTACTTTTTAACCCAGCAGTAATTTTTAAACTTTTAGTGGAGCATACATATCTCGTTAGTAGTTAAAGGGTGAATGTTTTAACTGCTTTTCACATTTAAAAAGAAATGAAGAAAGTTAGATACGACTCACGTCGTTAAACGTTCTCTCAATTAATTACTGGTCAACAATCAAAATTTAGATTTAAAAAATGAATTAAAAAGCCGTGAAATCGTTTTAAAAATGCGTAAATACTTCTTGTTCGTGCTGTAAAGGAAAAACGAAAGATTTCTAAAAGAAAGTAACGCTAATAAATACATAAACATAATATTAATAGTTATGCAATGATAAAAAGTTAGGGGTAAATACTGGTTGAGTCAGAAATATGGCTAAAGGTTTGATCGCAAGGTGTGCTAACAGTATAACGGCTAGAATAACGAGAATAAAATCTTTGAATTAAACAACAGTGAATATCAGTATCAATCAAAAATATTTTATTGTTTCAAACTGCTTCCGGTTTTTACCCATGACGTTCCGTCAGTGTCGCAAAGAAAAAGATTTTCATTTCTGAATGTTTAATGTTTACTCTTGTAAACAGTCGTTTTCCGACATTCCCACAGTCGAAGGCAACATGCTGCATTAAAATTATGTCTCACGACTTATCGACTATTCTGAGCAATGATCAGTTGCAGCATTGGCAATTGTAAACGTTAACGCCCACGTTATAACTGTAACTCTACTACAAGTTCAGCTCTGTCTTAATTGATTATATGAACTCGGGTAAATTAATCTTATTTGAAAATGAAAAAAAAAAAAAAAAAAAAAAAAAAAAAAAACATCATTCATTCTTTTCCTGTAGAACTTACTCAATGTAAGGCTCTCTGGCCCCTTAGAAACCTATTCTGACCCTTTTTCTCCTTAAATTTGACTCGTTTGCAGCAAATAGTTGTTTTATTAATTAAATCTTATATTTGAAGCAAAAATCGTGCAACTGTGCGCTTCCCTATCAATCATGAATTTAATTTCTTAAATTATATTCCATGGCAAATAATTTAATTATTTCAAATTGTCTGGCGTGCGCTAAACGTCAGAGTAACAGCAAAAATGGCAAATGATTCCTTGTCGATGAGTTACCACTGTTCCCATGTTACATTTAGAGAAAGTCATCTCCATCAGGACAGCACCAAAAACGGTCATTAAAAGTAATATTTACTAATTATTTTTCCTTGTTTCTTTTCTTATCTTTCTTTTTTTTTTTTTCAAGTAGGTTCCGCTTGCAGTTCTTCTGAGTAGTCCCCATGCTTCTCAATAGATCCATTGTTTCAGAAGATCTGCTATTGCTTCTAGGGTATTACTTTTACTCAGTGCTAGGTAACTGCTGAAGAAACCTCTTTCAAAAAGACATGCACTGCCGGCGGAGGGGCTGTTTCAAGTTGAGGAATAATTTGAAACCTAGTGAGCTCATGTATAGACATTTTAGTTGTTGTGATTTATCTCACTTGTCTGACAGTAGCATCAGAACAAACTCACAAAATCCATAGTGGCAAGGAGTGCAAGACTGCGCCTGTTGTTTGCAACAACATACAGGTGACAACAACAGGTGACAGTACGACTTTGGCCCCTGTTCTGATGGAGAGCAACCTGGAGGGGGCACGGGTCCGAGAGTCTCCCACCATTCTTCCCCTACCACAACCTCTCGAGAGGGCATTCGGCTCACTGCATATTTAGAATGGCCCCCATGCTACACAGACACTATACATTTACAAACACCCATGCCTTCTCCGGAATTTGAACCCGAGAACCTTCGGTACGTCAGACAGAGTCAATAACAACTATCCCGGTTGGGCGGCAGGTAAAATTTTCCACTCGGACTTGGTCAGCAGATCGGTTACAATTCCACATACAGGTGTCCACTAGCGCTAGAAATGAATTGCCCATCCGTAAGGCAATCAGACGAGTTTTTTTTTTCTTTTTCGGTACAATTTTCGCAACTACTTACAGTAGTGTGCTGCTTTCGTCATAATTCTTTAATAATTCTATACAAAGATCATCATTTACTTCACACATTATCAGGTTCAATGCTCCGTCTTACTTTCTTCGGGAACATGCAAGGACCTGACTCGGAACAGAGAGCTTACTAAAGCTATGTTCAATAACTGTGGGAAGTAGACAGGATACACAAGAAGGGTATACAAAACCCTTTATTTTTCTCTATTTACAATAACTTCCGTACTTCGGAATACAAAGACCCACTACTTGTGGTCTAAACGTAAAAATATAAAAAATAAAACTAAACTCTAATTTAACTTTAAAATAATAAACGTGGAAGATTGGCCTTATATTAACAGGAACCCGTATGTAGTACAGAGAACTGCGAACACTACAATACGTTTAAAAATTATCAAGAGGATTAAACCTCTGGCCTGGATGTATGCAACCAGCAACTGAGTAAAACTTCTAAGGTAAGCGGCCTGCTTCGACTAACTGCTTCCTCTCTTTCGCTTGGCAAAAAGCCACAACTTAAATACTTGGCGCTCGCCAGACAAACTTTGCATAAATACGTTAACGCTTATAATTCTGGCCGGAAGTAGAAAATAAGAAGTGATAGTAAAGATTTAAAATAAAATAAACGTTAGTAAAACTTAAGATCCTTACAACATTACTGAGCATATCGAAATTTTTTGGGTTGTGGAAGGGGTAGATTTCTTTATCGGATTGACAGCAATTTTAAACCTGGTTCGAAGTCTCTAATACACGTATCGTTAATAATGATTATTCGAGTCAGAAATTCGAGAAATATATTGGACTCGCACTATTTTGTAAATCTTCTGTCAAAATGTCGTATACTGGTATTGGGGGAAATCGCTGTTAACTTGTAACATTTCTTTCCATGTTGCTGGACGATCTTCTGCCTTTTCTATCCCACCAGAAAGTGTCATACTTTTTTCGGCTACTGATACTTTGACCTTCAAGGCCTCCGGTTATCTTGCACACCTGACACATCTGCCACGAAAGCAAGTAGCCCAAAGAAGACTATACGATCCACTGCCTAATCACTGCAAACTTCATGCAATGCAATGTGAAATTTATTGACGCTATGTCAAGTAAACTTCTAGTTCTGAAGTAAGATCTTTGATTTCTACAGTCACAATAATTGCAAAGTTTATTTCAAGCACTGGTAACTTTAAAATGTTGCTTTCTAGAAAACTTGCATTTGAGTTTGTTCACTTTTTCAACTGCAAATAATACAAATTATCTTAACGTCAAAACTTACTAGGGAATTAATATAGGATTTCTTAATACGGAATGCAAAATACCTGATGCCATCAGATCTGGTTTCAGATGATAAAACACCAAACAAGTTTATATCAAAAGATGTATTATAACTTAAGAATACTTCATAAGACAGAAACGGAGAAACTGATGTATGCATTAAAAATAGCAGAATTCTTTATTCCTTAACTAATGCATAACAGTTATAAACTGTCAGATAATTATACTAAACTCCCTTATTGTGTAGTCCACATTTAAAGTTTCTTAGGATCACTAATTGATATTAACGCAGGAAAATGGTTTCTCTATATGCTTTGAAGCAGAATGAATTCCACAATAATATTAATAACATCAGCATACGACCTACAATTCGGACATCAATAGTACTTTAAATCTTCGATAATCTTCGGAAACTTCCTTGATTAATAAAAGCTCAATTCAGATATTTAACTAAAATACATCCTTTGAAATGAATTTTGGTAGGATTGGAGTTAATGCATCTTCTTTTACATGATCGATCATTCCACATGTTCTGGTATTTAATTACATTTAGCTTATGAAACTTCGCTTTTAATGCTTTAATCGAAGTTTTCATCACGAATTTGATAGTAGGAGCGTAAATTTTATTCCATTTGCATCAACCACTTTGCAGTGCAGCTAACTTGCGTATTACTTTTTAATTTATCTATGTATATTTCATTACGCTGTGCTGATGATATACCTAAAATCTTGTTGAACAGCTATACAGATACACATAGTTGTTAACTTCCATTAGGGAAACTAGAGGTGGGTTGAATCCTAAGTTTCCTCGATTTCAAATTCAAACATTGAAAGCTTTTCGAATCTCACATTCTTTGACTTCTTCAACTAATAGTAATAATAATAAGAAAAAGTTACTTTTGATTAATATTGAACGTTTTTAAAATGAGGAATTTGAAATCTGCATATAGTGGAAAACAAATTTAAGAATGCGATTTTTAAAAATAGCCTATATTTATTAAAATGATAAAAATGAAATTTACCAGCTGACCAAAAAGTTCATGCAGTTTGTGATCAGCAGAGACAGACAAATATACAACGCATGGTACTCAATGATAGGTCACGGAGTAATCTCAATCGGCATCCGGCATCTTTGCCAACGTTCTTGCAGACTGCAACGCCCTGGCGACAAAATTTGGGGGTCTTGGACGCAAAGAAGTTCGCGGATGCGTGCCGAAGGTCTACTTAACTCTCGAAGGATTTCCGACGGAGGTGGTTGCCGAGGGAATGGAACAGGTGGTATTTTATAGGCACTAAAAAAGACTGGCGAGTATAGTGTCTTCAATCCAAGTCGCTGAACGGTGGTATACGTGATCGTTCTTGCTACGTGTGGTCTCGAATTTTGGTAGAGGTACAACACATCCTTGCGATTAACCTTGTGCTGTATCCTTCTGCTGCAATACATGTTGCACCCGTTGCAAATGCTGCGAGTACAGCTCCTCAGTGATACTTTAGCTTAGTCGTAGTAAATAACGGCGGGAGTCCCACTAGCTCAACTTGTGCACCTTTTCTATGCAATGCACGTGAAATCTGATAGTTTCCTGAAAAGTCGGGAAACGTTTAGCAAGTTCATCAAGCAGAATTCTTTATTCTTTAACATCTTTCTTATTTACTACTGTTCTTGAACATGGCTGCCTTCAGAGCCTCGTCATCCAGCATCTATCGTCGCCACTACGGATTTAATCACAAAGGCTCAGATCTCCCAAAATGAACTTCTGGAAACTACGCCTACTATGCCTGGCAGTGCGTTCATTCATGGTATCCTCCCCAAATGCCTAACATTTTCTATAGTCTGACAGCTGCTGGCAGGCCAATCTTAATGTCATTTAAGAAACAACCACGAAGGAGACATTTTGATACCTCTTCGACACTGTTAGCTATGTTGCTATGTGTGCGCAACATGCCTGTATTAGAACAGTTCGGTGGTACACTAATACTCCATTGCTTTTCCAAGGCGGGAGTCTCTTTGTTTCCTTCCTGTGACAGCTTCATAAAATAAGATGTCAAAAGTGACAAGAACCTTTTCATTGCCTTTAATAAATGAAATACGTAGCAGTAAATGATATAGTATATAAAGAGTAAGTAAATAATAATAAATGAAATGTATAATTAAACTCTTGAATATTTACATTCATTTTCCAGACATAATGTGGCAGACATATCTGAGTAACAGTTTAAATTCAGCAGCAATGACAGAATAGTTCAACTGGTAGACAACTAGAGTCTTGTCGCGATGCAGCGTTTATATATCATGGCATAAAGTTGTTAGAAACATCCTGGTCTTATTATCAGTGGGTTATCTATGCCAAAAATTATTAAAATGATTCTAGAAATAGGTTTAAGAATTTTCGATAAAATGCACTGCCCCAGTAACTTGGAATTTATCGCCAGATTTCATGCCATGCTGAAACTGTATGGAACTTACGACCATCAAGAGGTGATGCTGATGATTTAGACAGCACTGAAGTTGAAACAATCACGTTCGTTTCTTAATAAACGCTTCTACTGGGTGTCCTTAAAACTATTCTTTACATTTGAGAGATCCGAATGATGAAGAATTCACTGAGACTCGAGTTCTGAGTTTCATAGCTTTACTAAGATTCGCAAGATCTGAGGATCCAAATGTCTCCTGCTTCGAAAACTAAACTGGATTTCATTTTGCATCTAATGAATTCATTTTTTTATTTAAGGCTAGGTTTGATCTCAATATATTGGTTTTCTTGGTAACTGCGGAGATGAACTAAATTATGATTTTTTATACAAAGCCGGAAAAAGTTGACAACTTATCTGGATCTATTTTTCCAAATTAGGGTTTTATTCTGCAATCAAGAAACTTCTTACTTTACCGTAAAAACCTAAACATTACTAAAAAATATTAAATCTTCTTTCGATTTCAATTACTTAAAATCAATGAGCAATTAAAAACATTAATGGAAGGAAATCAAAGAAAATGCTTTGTTTCCTGCCTGCAAAAATAGCTTTCATTTGGGTCAAATATTGGAGTTTTAACTTTTTATATTATAGGAAACTTAATTTCTGTAATAAGGAGCAGTAGAAATAAAATTAATTTAAAACAATACATGTGCCACCGAATAAATGATATCAAAATTTCAAAATCTCTTAAATTTATTTCAAATGTTCCCTTGCATTCAGAACAAATTTTACTGCTTTAAAGACGATGTTGATAACAAACCTGCCGTTCTTCTAAATTGATGCGGCTCCTACTGCCATTAAGATTGGCTACCCTTGATATGCAGTAATTTGATATGTTTACTTCGCGCATGCAACCATATTTCTGCCTCATCAAATATATTATATGATTACATGAGAAGGGAGATAGAGTCTTAAAACTTTTCGCCAAGCCTCCAAAAATTGTTTCCCAATCATCTGTTAAAAACACTCAAGAAACTACTGCTTTAGAGTGTTAAGGTACAGAGATAATGTTGGTGGTGGTGTATTTAATTATGGCAAAGCACACGAGGGCTATCTGCCTAAAGGGAGGCCTTTCGTGGAGGACTTTCTAAGGGAAACTGGCTCGTATACACGTTACACATGGGGAAAACCACGAAAACGCCCATGCAGCCAGCCCGTTCGCGGGATTCGAACCTCAGACCGAACTACCAGTGTTCAGCGTCTTTACCGCTCGGCCGCTGGTGGGCCACACACACAGAGATAATGAAACAGCTAGGAAATTTTAGAACAGTAACGATTTGAGTTAGTTACATGTTTTCTCAGAGAACAATAACTGTCCCCAAAATTTAGGGTGTATCCTTCCGAAATCTAAGGATGTGCAAGTCATAAAAATGTAATATGTATCTATAAAGGCAATGATTTTACCGAAGTGCTAGTTCATGCTGAGAAGTTTCTTTAAAAGGGGTTTTGCAATAACACTAGTAAGACATTAATTTCTATAAAAAACTCTGGACATTTGAGACTATGACTATTTGTTTCTCTGTCTAATTATTTAAAACAATTACATTACTGTAATACAGCCTACAAAATTGCTATTTTGCATGTTCTATAAAAATATAATTTAACTGTTTAGGCCAATGGTATGCGCAGAAGAGCTTGTGGAAGGGAATAAGCGGCATTTCTCAACACCCTGGACTGGAGGCAATTTATGCGGCACAGAAACGTAAGTTAACTTCATTTAATGTTCGAAGATGTAAAGGAATTAAAGTACTAATGCATTTTTATGCTCTGTAAACTGTGGTCTCTAAATAACCTGGAATGAAGTCCTCATTACTCAGTTATTTTGTGAAATGTATATAATGAGCTTCCAAAGTTCGTGAAAAAATTTTTTTTTTAATTCAAATATTTTTTTATACAAGGTCCGGCTATTAATTTCCAGGACTGACGTAACTGTAGGAGAACGAAAAGTCGGAAGATAGCGCTAATGATTGCATATTGAAGAGCGTTTTCTTGCGCATGTGCAGTGTAATCGGCGCCATTCTGAAGTAAGTGGTTCTCGTGGAAAGGGGCATTAAAACGTAGCTCTTAAACTCCTATTGTCGAAGTGAAAATGGAGCAAAGAATTAAAATTAAATTTTGCTTCAAATTGGGCAAGACAGCTGCGAAAAAATACGAAATGTTAAAGCAAGTTTACGGCGAGGAAGCATTATCTCGCTCAAGAACTTTTAAATGGTTTAACCGCTTTCGCGAAAGCGTCGAAGATGATCCATACACAGGTCGGCCGCAATCCGTACGCACGCCGGAAGCAATTGAAAAAGTTCGCGATATGGTGAAATGTGATCGTCGATTGACTATTCGAGTACTCGCCAATGAATTCAACACGGACAAAGAGACTGTTCGGCGAATTTTGACGCAAGATATGTTCCATGCGTTCCTGGATAGGATAGTCACTTGGTGTTATCAATATGACCCTGAAACCAAGCGTCAAAGCTCCGAATGGCGGTCTCCAAGTCCACCAAGGCAGGAAAAATTTCGATTTGAAAAGTCCAAAATCAAGGCTTTCTTGATCGCTTTCTTCGATTGCGATGGACTCATTCATCATGAATTTCTTCCTCCTAATATGACTATCAATGGACAGTTCAACACAGAAGTTCTTGACCGACTTCGAAAACGAATTCGTAGAGTGAGGCCTTATTTTCAACAAAATGGGAGTTGGCTGCTGCTACATGACAATGCCCGCCCACACATTGCGTTGCCTGTGAGGCGACTCTTAACTCAGCATGTTGTCATTGAAATGCAGCATCTACCATACTCTCCAGACCTTGCACCCGCAGACTTTTTATTGTTTCCTAAGCTGAAAATTTCGCTTGTAGATTTTTGGGGTATGATGAATTTGGAAATAACCTTAATGTTTCTCCACCATGCAATCAGTGCAATTTGTATTAATCCGTCTTTGGTCGGTGTACTTTGACACTCTTGTTGAATTGAATGGTCAAAAAACAACCAAAGTGGACTGCAATGAAAAGTACTCTACATACTTCAAGGGAAAAAAATTATATTGGTATAGAATGTTATATGAACATTTAAATGCTAGAATACAGTTGTTTACGGGAGGGAAATTCTTAATCAGAGGCCTTGCATTACTCTTTTGATAATGAAATTGCGTTTGTTGGGATTTCTGTTCTATAACTACGCTGTACTGTAGAAAATGCTAAGATAATAGCATACTTAGCATTTTCTCTTTCATCTTATTCTAAATGCTTTAATCTTAGTAGATGTACTTTTCGTCCATGTTTTGGAAAAAATATTCCAAGAATGTATTTTAAGAGCAGCTTTATACTTGGTGAGAACACTTAAGATTTAAATTTTGGTCACATACATTCAGTTATGGCCATCGTACTGTTACACACACACACACACACACACACACACACACACACACAAAAAAAAAAAAAAAAAAAAAAAAAAAAAAAAAAAAAGAAAAGAAAACTAAGTAAATATAATCTTTAGCAGTTCAAATTTCCTTTTCGAAATACTTCATTCACAAGCTAAAATATATGTGCAATTTTAATATCGTACCTGCAGGCCAATTTATTAATTCTCTAATATCTGGTCGGACGAATATACATTTTCCAGCTTTGCTTTTGAAAGGCGAGAATAAACAGATGCTTTTCACAGAGGTACTGAAAGCAATTTTCCCTTTTTACGAGTACCTCTGCAATTTCTCTAATAGGTCCAGTTTTATGAGAAATGGGGATAAAAGAATATATATATATATATATATTGTTAACAGGTTTAAGGTGAAATGTTTATTGTAGCTAGGTTCAAGAAGATTTCTTAGTGGACAATGTATTTTGAATCGAATCCTGTCTTTCTGTTCTGCTGCCCCACTCATAAAATGGTATTTTAGCTTAATGTACTTGATGACCAAAAAGCATATTTAATACATGCTCTGAACAAATCAATCATTTGTGATTATTCTATTTTATGTGCGCGAGAATCGACTCAATATTCATATTTTAATGGATAATTTTACGAGGTTTATATTGAACAGAAAATCCTTAGAGTTTGAATTTGATAGCATACGTTCAGTTACAGCCTTAGGGTTTAACTCCTTAACTTAGATACTCAAGGTTCTTATTGTTATACAAATAGTTACTAAAGATAATCTTTAGCGGTTCAGATGTTCTTTTTCAAAATAATTTATTGACAATGTAAAAACACTCATCTAATATTCATGTTCTAATATATGAGCTGGTATATTATTTTCCTAATGTTTGGTCGGATGAATGTAACTTTTTGTAGCTTAGCCTTTGAGTGGAGAGTGTATCAGGGTATTTTTTAACAGAGACGTTGAAAGCAATTTTCGCTTTTTATGAGTACGTCTGCAAATTGTTTAATGGGACCAGTTTTATGAGAAACAGGCTAAAAGTATCTTTTCTCTGTTAACAGGGTTTGAGGTAAAATGTTTGTTGGTGCCAGATTCAAGAGGGTTTCTTAGTGTACAGGGTGTGTTTTACGTCGGATGTCGGCTTTCTGTTTTGCTGTCCTACCTATAGTATTTGAATATAGTGTAATACACCTGTTGACCAAAACGTATATGTAATATTCTAAGCTGTGAATAAACCAATTTTTTGTGATTATTGTATGTTATATGCAGGAGAACTGATTTCAAATCTTCATATTTTAATTGGACATACATACAATGGTCAACAGCTACAAAGGGATACTTGTTCCCACTATGCAAAAGAACAGCTTCAATTCTTCTTATACAGTTAGCAATAAAATGTATAAAATTTTTTATGATAATATTGACATTAAATTGCTAATACATTAAATATTTATTTAATTTCATTCATAAAAATGTGTCTGTAATTAATTTAAATTGTGTACTGTAGTTACCTTATTTACATAATTAAGATCTGAATAAAAAATATCGAGTTCTGGAAAGAGTAGTATTAGTTTCGAAGGATATTTTGAATTCAGAGTACGCAATGACATTAAGAAGAGGTAGAATCTTCAAAAAAAGATTTTACATTGTAGGACTATGCAGTTACTGTAACAATCAATCTTAACCAATATGAGTATTTAATTTTTTCATAATTAAAATTTTAAGAGCTGCGAATTTAAGTTCTGAGACACTCAGTTTGAGAGGCATAAATAAAATGTTAAAATGATCGTTATCATGTATGTAATACATGCTGCTTAGGTTTCACTGCTCAGCATATTTAAGAAGAAAAAAACGCTCAGAATTATCAGAATATAAAACGGTATGGCAGCAGAAAGTTATTTCAATCGCAAAAACTACGTCTTATCAGAAAACTGCGTTTTCTAGCTCTATGAAAACAGCAAACTGATATATGAATCATATATTTAAATATTTATTATCCAGCTCAAAAGCAATTTATGTGCCCAAAAATATACGCTCTGATAATTAAATAATGAGACTGAATCTATAAAACAAAAACAAACAAACAAATAAAAACGAAAAAACAAGGACATTACTTTTTATATTTAACCTTTTGCAAAGACACACTGAATGGCATGATCCAAATAAGGCCTAAAACGACCTATGCTTCTCTTTATGTGGTACTACCCAAAGATTCGATGTTACAATCCTTTAAAATCGTGATCGTCGTCAGAGAGCGACCTTTCAATAGAATTTGAATAGATGATAATTGCAGGAGGATGAATTAGAGAAGCAGAGTGAATGGTTAAGAACACACAGTTTTTAGCCAAATATTTGAAGGCATTATTCATGTTAATTATTAGTTATTTTATGTTCTGAACCTGTACTGTCAGTTTGCCCTTTCCGTTTTCCTTCCAAAATGCAAATTAGCTCGCGTATACGTATTTAAGTGATGATTTGAGATTGTTTAGATACAGTGTGTTCTGCTCGCTGAAGGCCACGTTGCTACTTTTTTATTCTGAGAAAAGAGTTCCTGTCTTCAGCGTTGCTTTATTCTTGCCGATACTGCTTTCTCGCCCTTGTAAGCAGAAGAGCTAACTTTCGTGCCGAAATTACTCTGCGTAGCCTCTGGATAATTAATACTTAGGTTTAATTTAAAATTTAAAAGGCTATTTTGGTTGTCGCTATAAGGCTGGCTGATTTGTAAGTACTAGATGCGCCGTCTGTTCATCTCACTTAGTTTTAAATAAAAAGGGTCTTTTACATCCTTCTTACGTTTCTGTTTCATCTTAGACAGAGGGATAAGTCGCTTAGGGTCTTATTGAGGATTTGCCACAATTAAGTTACATTAAGGCATTACACAATTAAGGCATATTCTCTACACATTCTTGTACCATTATTGCTTGTTAAGCTGCTGCATTATCGTGAAGAGGTAATTAACTACCACATACTAAATACTTGGTTTAAACTCGGAGAATCGTCTTCCGTATGTTTAAATATAAATATCATTGACAGTTGGTCTCTCAAAACCACATTTATGATAACTAATTCCTTTGGTTTTGTAGAAACATGCCACCTGTGTTTTCACTTCTGACTTCTGAAGACGATATTTTTTCTTTAGGTAATGTTGATACCTTCCATTCAGAATTTTGGCATTCAGTTGTGGCATCCTAGCAGAAATTCCATGCTTTACCCTTTAGTTCCAAGTTGATTTAAAGAAAGCTATTCCAAGTTGATTTAAAGAAATTTTTATTTTAATGACAAATTTGAAAGGTCTTTCGCATACTGGATATAATCCTCTTTCTGATCGTTAG